AAAACACCCCCTCCTAGTGCAAGGTGTCAGCTCAGTGGTGCATTGCAAACTCCTGTATGTCCTCCTAAACTGCAGCCTCTAGTCCCCCAGGGTCTGCTCCTCACATTCATAACACTCCGCTCCATGCCAGGTGGCTGTCTCCACAACTCCTCTTCCCCATAAATCAGACTGTCTTTGAGTTGATCAATAACAAGTCAATTAGCAGGCGCTGAGAGATGAGGGTCTCAGGGGGTCACCGCTTGTTTGTCAGGCAGACATCTGCAGCTGTCCCTGTCTGCCACAGAGCTAGGTGTGCCGTTTGCCTTGGAAACATGTGGCTACCTGGCTATCATAAATCTAAATATCAACTATAAATAGGCCTGGAACATCTTGCTACAATCCATCATTTGCTTGTTCTTGGAAAAGTAATGTATCAAGCATTGTGTACTTCAAATCTCCCAGCTGAGTCGGATGGATTTGAATGAGCCTAGAAAACAGCACTTTATGTCAGCAACTTTTCAATGTATTTGCTCTTGAGCATTTCTTGTGAATAAGTATGCTTGTAACAAAGAAACAAAACAAAAAAATATGCTATTGGTGTCTAAGGTCACACTTGACCATATCCACCAAATATAAGCTGCAAAGCCTGCCACTATTCATCCTGCTCCCCTGTTGAGCTGACATGAGTGGGAGAGACCCAACTGTTGTTTGGTGCCCACTGACTGTGAATCTAATGACTTGGCTGGCAAATCCAACGCAACAGCAACAGGCTCCTGTGGCGAATACACCAGATAAATCCCCTGGATAATTACAAACAAGAAAGATCTTGGGCAAATACTCCCCATTCCAACAGAGAAGTTACATCAAATGATGCTGTCTAATTAATTGATAGAGAGACAGCATTTGGAGAGATGAATGAAATGTGCTGACACTGTACAGAGAGAAGAACTGTAGATAAAAACCACCTAGATGGGGCTAGATGACAGTCATACAACATAATGCAGTTACCTTGAAAGAAGAAGAAGAATGATACATATATTTTGTGGCTTGTTTGACCCATACATCAGTTGCCTTGAAGACCTATCAAAATGGTTATTGGCAGATGAACACTGAGATTCTAACAGCTAACACACACTGCTAATTAGTATTCAACCTAATTTGACTCAATTGTGTCGCTGCATTTTTCATTTTGATTCACAGCAGTCACCACCTGAATTGCTGGTGCATCAGTCACACAACATCAGTCAACACTGAAAGATGATGTGAAGTGGCAAGGGGTAAAGTCTCAATAATACATTTGTTAGAATGACAATAAAAACAATAACAGTCATTATTATCACTGCAGTTACTAGTATTTTATATATTTGTTCATTGATTTCTGCCCATTTTAAACCATTATTTAGTTTCTTTCTGTCTGTCTAGTTTTTTGTATATCACATATTGTCTTGTAAATACTAACACATGTTTCTTTATCCCTGTTTGCTGCCTCTCCACACACACACACACACACACACACACACACACACACACACACACACACACGCACACAAAATTGTCACAAAATTAAATTGATCTGATAACCTTCTCTCTCTTTGATATAACATGTATACTGTAATTGTTTTGTCTTTTGTCATGTCTGAATCATATGTAGACATCATTTCTGTTAAAGACATTAACATAATGTCACCTTTATGTTTTGACAGATCACACTAAGGTAAGGAATAAAAAAGACTAAAGAAACAGCTCCCAAATATGGCCTCATTAGTGCTCTTTGAGTTGAAAACTTCAACACTCTGACAGTTACACATAACAAACGAATCAGGATTTGGTGAAGATCAGCTTTACAGTTTTTTTTCAATTGCTAAGATGCAATGGTCAAAACTGAAGCCATTTTTTCAAAACTCTTCACATAGTCTGCATTACAGTTCTCACTCAGAAAACATACATTGTTACTTGTAACACACTGACTTACAAAACACTAAAAACAGGAAGCATTACGTAAATTTAATGAACTTTTATCTTCAAAATGTGAGTGATTTAAAAAAAATATATAAATCAGTATTTCATATAGAGTACAGTTGTTCTCAGTCACTTTGGTACATTTCTCAGATCAGAACTGAAATTCTACTTGTTGAACCTCCACATCATCTAGTCACTTGTGCACATCATATGTAAGAAGCAATTTCTCAATCTCAGAAATTACTAATTGCAAATGCTTTGACACATTTATGCAAATGATTGTCTGCTGTTTCCGACAATATCAGTTGCTTACTGTATGTCATGTTGATCACAATGTATTATAAAGGTTTTCTGATGACCCCCTAAAAAATCTAGTCAAAAGTTCATTGCGTAGTTGAACACGTCATAATCTGCAAAGCATTTTTTCTACATGTCTATTAGACTTTTTTTGTAAATGTGTCCTACAGTATATTGATGACGATATATGTTGTGATGTGAATAAAATGTGCAGCCTTGAGCATTTTCAATCATTGTCATCCAACTTTAGCCATAGTTTATACAATACAATACAAATGGTTTTGCAAACGTTACTGTACGGATGATTCTAGAAATGTATCAAAGCAACTGAGAAAATTGCAAAAATAACTGCAAAAATATATTTTCACTTTATTGACTGTACTATAGTATATGTAACAAGAATGAATCAGAAATGCAGAAATTGGCTTCAATATTCTTTTTTTTTTTTTATCACTGCATTCAGTAATTTACTTACAGTAAAGTTCCTGAAATGTCAGTTTTTCTCAGTTGTTTACACTGTAAAACTGGGACCTGAGACACAATGACCACAACCTGTAATTGATGTACCAACCCCTTCGACCAATTCTGCTAAAATACAGGTACATGTCTTGCTGTACACTGAGCTTACAGTTTTACAGTAAAACCACATTCAAAACACACACACATTTCTCTACACACGTAGATGTAAACATAAAATGTACGTAAATGTTCTGCTAAGATTTTCTATAATCTGTCCAGCTACTGCAAAAATACAGGACATTTTCAATAATTCTGTTTTAAATGTGTTTTTAACAGTTTTGGACACAGTGTGTTAGCATTTGAAAAATGTGCTGCATATACATAGTGTTTTGCAGGTGGTGAAGTAGTAATGAGAAAATAGTTCATGGATTTTGGAGAAAGTGGTCATTGAATGCATTTTGAGTGAAAGCAATGAAAAATTATTCACAATTTGGTCCGCATAGAACTATTTTTCGCTGACTGTGTGAAGTGTTTTGACAATGTGACTTCAGTTTTGACCAATACAGGTTAGCAATTGAAAAGACTGTAACAATTGCAATTGCACTGACTTGTAATCAACTCTTATATTCATCCATGTTTGTTTTTTTTATGTATAAATATATTGTTTATGTTTAAAAATGTGATCTTAGGCAAATTCTCAATTTGTTATGTCCATATTGTTGTGTAAAGCATTTATTCTATGATCTGTTGTGTCTCTGTTCTAGTAGCCTTTTCATAAGTTTAACAGTATCTCTCTTTCTGTCAGAGAGAGGCCACCTGGATGAGGTGAGCTTGCAGATGGATATGAGAAAGGGGAGATAAAGGTGGCATCAAAGTGTTTCCAGCTGAGGATCAGTGTGATGTGGTAGAATGATGCTTGCTTGGGGTATTCTGTTGGATTCTGTAAGTACACATTTGCAACTGTGCTTTGGGGTTGACCTTGTTTTTTTGTTGTTTGTTTTTTCACATCAGCTGCATGTATCAGGTGGCAGGAGTTGACTGTTGGGATCCCATCAAGGGAAGAGTATAAATACAACACACAAGGAGAGAGACAGGAGCAATCCAACTGTATGGAGCCACAAATCCTGGCAACAGATGCTTCAAGTTGTGATAGACTCAAACATATACAGTATATGTAGTGTTGAGGGCCCGACTCTAGGGCTTCCCTTGTGCTCCCATGCGGAGAGGACCCCCAGGGGAGCTGATGCCAGCTGAGACTGAAAAACAAGGTAAGAGCCCAGCTGACACACATGCACACAGGCTCAGCTGTTTGTCTCAAAGGAGAGTTCAGCATGTGAAGTACACTGAGAGCCCGAATATGATGGAAACTGCCAGATTCAAGCCTCCCAGGGAGAAAGCGTAGTGAGAACACTGAAAGATGGATAGACGGAAGATGCTAGAGCGTGTGCACTATAGGCGTACAATGGTAAGATTGTTTGACTGCTTTATTGTCTTATCTGGTAATGGAGCCTAGATAGTTTGGGAGGAGATGAAATAATGTCTGTCAGTGCAGCAGTATCATTGATCTTACCTGTGTCATATCATAAGAGCACTTGGCTGTTGAAATATGACTCCTAAATTTAACAATGTTGTGTTTGGAATAACTCTTTATGATCTTTATTCAATATGATGGTTTCTTGTTTTCTTTTCCCTACAGTTTGGTCAATATCTATGCATGATGAAATAAGTTTCCTACGTCTATGATTTTCCCCCTGCATTTAAAATGCCAGGCAGAGGCTCCCAGGACTCCAGTTCTCTTTCCAGCCAAGAAAATGACTAATATAAATGATTGGCAGCCTTGCAGGGATAAGGTTGCCCATTTAGCAAACTCGCTGTGTCAAAGAAAAAAAAATCCACAATGGCTCCCTGAGCGATGGGATTGGAGATGAGAGAAATGAAGATTTTGGTGCTGTATCGATCCCCCAGTGCTTGTCTCATGCATTTTACACAAGATCTAAATGCCACTTATGGTATAATACAGCACTCTAGGTCAGGGCTCACTACTCTCTGTTCAGTGGGATTTCAGGGTACTTGGTGTATAAATTCAACAGGAATCAAGTAAAGCTGTAAGATTGTGTCATGGGCTCAACTCTGAGAAGGCACTGGGGATATCTGAGCATTTGATCCTTCAAATGTTTTCTCTGTATCCATTAATGAGCCTCTCACAGACCCCTGAAATTATGTTCATACTTTTGTGAAACATCAAACTAAGCTCCCCCACCCCGTCCTCTCCTCTCCTCTCCAGGGTGTGAGGTCTAAGACGCATCATGGCGGAGGAGAGCCTGGAGACAGATGGCCCCAGATCCTCCATGCCGGCTGAGCTCCACCATCCCCACTCTAAGTACTCTCAGTGGAAGTTTAAACTGTTTAGGGTGAAGTCCATGGAGAAGGCCCCCCTGCCCAGTGAGACACAGCCTGAAAAAGGAGCCCTGTTAGGGATCTCAGTTACTGAAGCTCCAAATATAGAGTTAGATAATGGTGTGGCTCCAGGGAGCGTTATGAAATTGTGCTTAGGAGGAAAAAGCAAGGAAAATGTGGAGGGCCCGGGCCGGAGGGTAGATATGAAGCTTCAGGAAATGGACACTCACATGAACCACCTCAGGTGATCAAATGTCACAATACTATATAAACTACACCATATCATGTGCATATGCATAAGAATTTGACAACATTGTTTTTTCTCTATGAAGGTGCTTGTGCCGTCTCTGTGGAATGGTCCTGAGAAAAGTCAAAGGGCCAGTGCACAATGTTCATGAGGATCTGGATGAGTCAAGCAAAGGTGCCCTGCGTAAAATGGGCTGCAAGGTTACAAGCTGGCCAGAGGTCATCCTCAAAGTCTTCAAAGTGGACGTGACAGAGGACACAGAATCTGTCCACCCTCTTTCTTTCTGCCATCGCTGCTGGATGGCTGCCATACGAGGAGGGGGCGTCTGCAGCTTCTCCAGAACAAGAGTCCCTGAGTGGAAACCCCACTCTTCCCTCTGCCACCTTTGCTACCCCAGGAAAACTTCATTCCAGCGGACTGGGAGGAAGAGGCGGAAAGCCATCCCCAGAGCCCAGAGCTTGGCAAAAAGGACCCGGTGGGACCATGGCGGCAGCATTGCTGTTGGTGAGAGAAGGGCTCTCAGACCATTTGGAGACCGTCATCATACTCCAGTGCTCAGGGGCTGGAGGAAACCCATCACCCAGAGAGAGCAATGGGTGAGGAATATCACCCACTGCCAGAAAGACCACCTGAGTACCAAGCTGATCTCTGAGAAGCTCCCTGTAGACTTCCTCTTTTCTTTCACCTGCCTGGTGTGTGACCACCTGCTCTCTGATCCAGTTCAGTCCGCCTGTGGGCACCTCTTCTGCCGCAGCTGTATTATAAAATATACCCACGTTCTGGGACCTCACTGTCCGGCCTGCAACTTGCCCTGTGCCCCTGATGATCTCACCCTACCAGCCAAAGCCTTCTTATCAGCCCTACTTTCGCTGCCCCTGCTCTGCCCCAGAAGTGGATGTGGCAAGCAGGTAACGCTAGACTCATTTAAAGCTCATTGTCTGGGCCATGAGTTGGATGAAAAGGATGCAAATGAGCACTCATCAGAACTTGACATTTACCTGCTAACCAATAAAGGTGGAAGACCCCGTCAGCACTTGCTATCGCTAACCCGTCGTGCCCAGAAGCATCGGCTGAGGGATCTGAAGAACCAGGTGAAGGTGTTTGCAGACAAAGAGGAAGGTGGCGACCTGAAGTCTGTGTGTCTGACGCTGTTTCTGCTTGCACTGAGATCTGGGAATGAACACCGGCAGGCTGATGAACTAGAGGCCTTGATGCAAGGTAAGAAGCTATTATAAGACATTTTGTTCAATCAACATAACCCCCTTTAGCCAAAAAAGGACACAAACAAATGAAAAGTATGATAGTGTTTGCGCATTTATATTTTTGCATATCTCTGAGGAATAGTCATCTCATAAATAACAATGAGCTGAAAAAGTTCACTATTGAGGAGAGAGAATAAAGTTTTATGTGATTTTGATTGAAAAGCAGTTCATCATTGTCCATCTCTGTTTAGTGAACCACTGCCGCTGTTACACAGCAAACCCCTCTCTGATACCCCCCTACTCTCACGCTCTGTCTGCTTGTCTGTCAGTCTCAGAGTCTCACACTCCCTTTAATGCACAATAACAACTCTTGTGACGGAGCTGTTAGAATCAAAACAACATCAGCAGCTCTTGTATCTGCAAATTACACAGACAGCACCATCCTCCTCTCTGGGGAATAGAAGCCAGCTGGTGTCTGTTTTCATCTGCAGCCAATACATCACTTTTGCCAGCTTCACTGATTCACCCTCTGTACCCTTATAACATTTGGAAATTAGGAAATATTGGATTTTGTAATCATGGGCTTGTGGGCTTTTGACAATGATACATTCACATTTGGATGTTAATTTTGCAATTCTCTCTCTCTCTCTCTCTCTCTCTCTCTCTCTCACAGTATAAATGACTCTAAATGCAGGCTATCCAATGAATGTTAGATACTGCAGTTCTTTTCAAAGCACAAGAAATGGGCTTCCACAGTTTGGTGTTGAAAGATTCTCTCAATGTCTCACTTCTTTATTCTTGCCTGACTTTTTTTAAACTTGCCTCTTTTTGTCTCTCTCTAAAGCACTCTCTCTTTTCGTTTTCTCTCTCTCTCTGCAGGCAGAGGCTTTGGGTTGCATCCTGCTGTGTGCTTGGCCATCCGGGTCAACACTTTCCTGAGCTGCAGTCAGTATCACAAGATGTACCGGACTGTCAAAGCCACCAGTGGCCGCCAGATCTTTCAGCCCCTGCACACCCTGCGAGCTGCAGAGAAGGAGCTTCTCCCAGGCTTTCACCAGTTTGAATGGCAGCCAGCTCTTAAGAATGTGTCTACATCGTGCAATGTTGGCATTATTAATGGGCTCTCAGGATGGGCTTCCTCGGTGGATGATGCTCCAGCTGACACTATCACTCGGCGGTTTCGCTATGATGTGGCACTGGTGTCAGCATTAAAGGATCTGGAGGAGGACATCATGGAGGGGCTGAGAGAGAGTGGGATGGAAGACAGTGCTTGCACTTCAGGCTTCAATGTCATGATCAAGGAATCTTGTGATGGCATGGGTGATGTCAGCGAGAAGCACGGTGGAGGACCAGTTGTTCCTGAGAAGGCGGTACGTTACTCTTTCACTATTATGTGTGTCTCTGTCCTGGCAGACGATGAGAAAGAAGAGGTTACCATCTTCACCGAGCCAAAGCCAAACTCAGAACTGTCCTGTAAGCCCCTTTGTCTGACATTTGTGGATGAGTCCGACCATGAGACACTTACAGCTGTCCTGAGCCCTATAGTTGCAGAACGTAAGGCAATGAAAGAGAGCAGGCTCATCCTGTCCATGGGCGGACTACCACGCTCCTTCCGCTTCCACTTCAGAGCCACTGGATACGATGAGAAGATGGTGCGTGAGATGGAGGGCCTCGAGGCCTCAGGGTCCACCTATATCTGCACTCTTTGTGACTCCAGTCGGGCAGAGGCCTCTCAAAACATGGTGCTACACTCTGTCACTCGCAGTCATGAAGAGAACCTTGAACGCTATGAAATATGGAGAACCAACCCCTTTTCTGAGTCTGCAGATGAGCTGCGAGACAGAGTCAAAGGTGTCTCTGCCAAGCCCTTCATGGAGACCCAGCCCACACTGGATGCATTACACTGTGACATTGGAAATGCCACTGAGTTTTACAAAATCTTCCAGGACGAGATCGGTGAGGTATACAAAAAGGTCAACCCCAGCCGGGAGGAACGGCGGAGCTGGAGGGCAGCCCTAGATAAACAGCTGAGGAAGAAGATGAAGCTGAAACCGGTGATGAGGATGAATGGGAACTATGCTCGCAGGCTAATGACCCAGGAGGCTGTGGAGGTGGTGTGTGAGCTGGTGCCCTCAGAGGAGAGGAGGGAGGCCCTGAGGGAGCTTATGAGGCTCTACCTCCAGATGAAGCCTGTGTGGCGTGCCACCTGCCCAGCCAAAGAGTGCCCTGACCAGCTGTGCCGCTACAGCTTTAACTCCCAGAGCTTTGCCGACCTCCTCTCCTCTACCTTCAAATACAGGTACAATGGAAAGATAACCAATTACTTGCACAAGACCCTGGCCCATGTGCCTGAAATCATAGAGAGAGATGGATCCATAGGAGCCTGGGCTAGCGAGGGGAATGAGTCAGCAAACAAACTGTTCAGGCGTTTCCGCAAGATGAATGCACGCCAGTCAAAGGCCTTTGAACTAGAGGATGTGTTGAAACATCACTGGCTGTATACCTCCAAGTACTTGCAGAAGTTTATGGAAGCTCACAAAGACTCTGCCAAAGCTCTGCAAGCTACCATCGACCCGATAGAGAACCAGGATGATGAAGACATGTCTTTGGAAATCAATGATTTTTGATTTTTCTTTTACTGTGAACCTTAAGTATTACCATTTTATTGATTTCAAGATAGTTCTATAATGTTTAATTGTCTCTATCGGTAATATGATTTACTTAATTTACTTTCTATAAACATTGACCGATATTTAGAATAACAGAAATGGAAACAGATAAAAAAAATTTCTACAACTTTTCCTATTTTGGTGTGATTAAAGTATCTTTGTTTCACAAAATACCTTTTCATTCGCACACATGCTAATTTCCAAAATGTAATGGAAAATGTGTTCTAAATGTGTTTTACTTGTTTTGAGTACTTGCCTTGCTTTGTTAGCTGTGTAGCTAATAATACAAAGATGGGACAGCGGAGGAACATAGAAGTAACACACAGGTTTCTTTTCTCTTGCTCTAAGCTGGAAAGTTCTTTCTTTTATCTCCACCGTCTGTGAAAAATTGCGCAGTTTATTGTATTGCAAGGATATGACACATTTATGAATTTATACAGAGAGGATATTTATGGAAACGGATTAAAGTGCTGTAAGTCATGGAGGGAAATTGTGTTAAAAAGACCACATTTGTGGCCACTGTATTAATATATCATTTGAGCTGGAGCAAAATGCAATCACAGAGACCCAAATGTTCTTTGTTTCATGAGTGCCCTCTGAAAAAGATTACTTTAGTGCTTTATCTTGGGATCCCTTAGGGGCAGAATAGATGCTAGGTCACTTTGAACCAATTTTTATCTCTTTTAGTTTTTGCACAGTGGAGGATAGATGATACTTATTCGAATTCTTCACATAAAGTAAAGCATATACTGACCTTTTTGTTGATATCATAAAAATCCAGTATGGTCCATTACGGAGCTTAATACCCCATGGACTCTCCAACAGGCAGAGATTTTTCTTAAGTGCTGTATATAACCTGGCTCTTTTTCTCTGCTGATATTTCTTCATTCACACGGTTGACAGAGGAGAGGGATGGGCAGGAGCTAGAAAGACCTGATTTGTTGGCAACTTTATTTGTTAGATTGATTGATATATATTTTCTTTCTCTGCCTGTCACAATTTTGAATTGTGACAGGCAATTTGGTTTTCTTATTTGATTGAGTGTTTGATTTTATTTTACTGTCACAAGTTTAACCATGTGACAGCTGTGGAATATTCACATTTCATTCAATTTGTCACAGCTCTACAATAACATCATGTTTTAGAGTGCATTATATTGCAACTTGTCTCATATTAGTTTTTTTTTGCCATAATGAATTGCATTTCCAAAGTAGTGGATGATGTATTTCCTCATTTTGTGTTTCCATATTACACTAAATATCATGTAAACTGTTTACTGCGGTTGCAGAAGACTTCAAGTAGTGATTCATATTGCATAGTAGTACAGTACTAATACAGTATTGCACTTCCACTACTCATTTACATTATTTATTTGTTCTTAAATGCTGTACAGTATTCAGATATCTGCTGTATATTTCACTGAAGCAGACAACTTAACATTCTTTTGATGTGTTATCTTCATAGAAGAGGAAGTGTGTACATTTTTTGTCCTTGTTTCCTTCAAAGAATAAATAAAGTCAAAATCTTGATCTTGATCCTTTGTCGGTTTATTTTATTATTTAGTTTTTATTTTGTGTTTTAATATTGCATTAACAGCACAGAATTCATGCACATTTGGTCCTGGAAGACAGCACTCATAACTGCTTATTTTTACTGTGGTCCGGGAAAACAAAACAACAAGAAACTGTTACACAGCTAATGAAAAAGTAGAAACACTGCAGAGAGATATGCTAAAAAATTTATAAAATAATACAGATTTACTGTCACATTTAAAGATTGTGAAAGCCCTTTAAACTATAAAGACAATTAGGTTTAGGTTGTTCATGTAGGTTGATTGATTGTTATTATTTAAATTAAATTAATTATTTAACTGAACACAGATTTGTATATTAGATACTACTAATAAATTATGATACATTTTATTGTAAATGTAGGTATATTTGGCTCTGGAAGCCAAGAAGTGTTAATGTATAGTGTTATTTTCACAGGTGTTCTTATTGAAATGTAAAATAACTGCAAACTAGAAACTGACAATCTGTGAAAAATATTAGAAATAAACAGGTAGAATGACTGAGAATTTGTGGCTGTTTATTGTTTATTTCATTGAGTACAGATAAGCATGTCAGATATTTCATTTCATTCAATAATCATCATCTTAATAGTAGAAAGAATTGTAAAAAGAATGCAGCTCTATTTGGCCATGGAAGAAAATGTTAGGATGTAAAACCTGTTATACTTAATGGAATGCAAAATTTAAATTGCCTGTTATACAGATTATACAAACACAAATTAGAAACACTGTAGACGAACTTGCTAAAATAGTACTTATTTTTTGAAAAACAATGTGAGATTCTAATGGAAATACACAGCTGTTAGATACAACATATCAGGTTGCAATTTTACAGTTTATTCTCTTTACAGTATTTTCCACATTGAGTACGGATCAGTATGTTATGTATTTTTCCTCTATCATTTATTCTCTAAATATGAACAAGAAATGTTCTCAGTCTACATAGCGTTTTTAACAGTGACCATCTACATGCGTCATAATCAAAACTGAATTCAGTCAAAAAGCCTTCTGAAAAAGCTTTTTTTTGCGGGGGACATCCTGATTGTAGGAGGAGTTTTCCTGTCCTTAACTTTCATGGGGGTGCGCTTCAGAGGCATGACCTGTCGGGGTGGTGTCATCTCCTGGTAAGGCAGGCCTCCGTGGTCCAGGCAGAAGTACTTTTTGTTGCCCTCAGAGAGCCTGAGCAGAAGGGTCTCAGACAGCTCCATGCACTGAGCATGGACCCAGTGTCCCCCCTCCCCTCTGGAGCAGAAGATCATGGCTGGCCGGTGGAGCTCAGTAGAGTAGTATGGCTCCCACGTGTTGGGGTCTACCTGACAGCCCAGGCTGCATTTGATCCAGTAGCCTGTTTGTGATTCGTCCTCCTCATCTTCCTCATTGTAAGTATCCCCTTCTCCATCACTGTCCTCCAGCTCGTGTGGCTCACGCCCGAAGTAGAGCTCCTCAGAATCTTCAAGAGGAGTGGAGTCGTCGTAATCTGTTGACTCCTGGCTGCAGCCCTGTGTTCCTGCTTCCTCTTTGCCTTCTCCCTCTGTCTGGAAGCTCACCTGATAAAAATAATGCATATCTGGTTGGCATGGCCTTCCTTCCGTGGGTACACCAAGCAGGACCTTTCCCTCCCCGTCACTGCCGCCAAACCAAGTGCGACTATGGATGATATCTGGGGTCCACTTAGGTGGTTCCAAGGGCTCAAAGTGAATCCCTTTCTCATCCAGAATCACAGTTCTGCACTCCATCCTCTTCTGAGAGTCTGCCTGATACCCACCTAAGATGATATATTTGTGAGTGGGACCTGTACGGGTGATTATGGCACTAGAGATGGATATCCCAGTGTCTAGAGCTTCACAAGAAAGCAAGGGGCTGCCCTGCAGGAGCTCAACACGCAGGCGAAAGAGTCGAGGGGGACGAGAGTCAGAGGTGAGTGAATGTCCCCCGAGGAAGTAGACACAGTCTTCTCTGGCCAGGGCCAGATGGAAAGACTGTCCATCGCTGAGCTCAGGTAAAGTGTGAGCAGAAGAGCAACCAAACTCCAAGTCAAACAGGAACACCTGAGGAGGACAGTCCACAACGCTGTTCCAGCTCTCTGTGGTCCGCTCTCCTGCGGGCATGTAGGATCTACCCCCAAACAAAACACAAGCTGTCTTCCCATGGCTTTGAACCATGCTCATTGTGTGGCCGTATCTGGCCCCCGGCACTTCTCCCACCAGTTCCCTCTCTTTGCAGCTCAAGGTCAGTTTACGATTGCAGCCACGGCTATCCGTGGTCAGCAGGTACAGGCTCGATGAGATCTCATTATTTGGGGTGCGGCCGCCATGGATGAGATAACTCTCTGGAAGCCCGTCATAGGGGTCGAGGCGGCAAACAGCTGGACAACGTAACGGAGGAAGGTAGCATGAGTCACTGGAGAAGGAAATGGGCCTCAACTTCATCTCGCCACATTTCAACCGAACCCCAAATACACCTGTTGGACATGAACGCTTGGGCCACCCTTTCTGGCCAAACAGGAGAACTTCACCATCCAGCTGTAGCAGGGAGCAGCCAGGCTGCAGAAGGCCTGCACAGTTCACTGGAGTTAATGGTTGCAGTGTCATTTTCCAGCAGGTGCCTGTGTCAAAACAGCACACAAACACAATATGTCAGTCAGCTGTTTATTGTTTTCAGTCAGGGGTTTTAAATTTTGACTTCCTGTTTATTATAGTAACACCTGGACGACCATAATCCACGTAATCAGAATATGCTATACAGACCTCCCCAAAAAATTAATAAATAAGGGCATACAATCTTTTAGCCTTTCTGCAAGACAATATCTCTTTTGAAATTTATGAAAGATGGCACACACAATGACTACCAGCATGTCATGTGATGATATAAATATATGGTATAATGAAGGAATAATAATGGTAACAATAAAGTAATAACATGAAATGAATGCCAACAATATTATCATTATTAGAGAGTTCATTTAAATTGTAGAATGTAAACTGGATTTTCAAAAAGTGATTTTGCCAAGATGTTACATTGTGAGGATGAAGAGCACAGAACTATGCTATGCCACTGACACACCTACCAACACAGTGTTGTAGGTTAACTTACTACTATGACTATATGTTGCTGCTGCCACTGCTGCTGTTGTTTGGCAGCACACAGCAGTGCTGCATTTAGAGTACCTAGACTCAAACATAAGCACCAAAATATAATTGTACACACGGATAAGCAAGGTAAGTAAAGTCTTTCGGTCACACTATTTTAGACCACAAACAAAACCTCATATTAAAACTTTCTATCTTTGAATCAGAGCCTTGTACTTTAAGGCAGCATGAGACACGAACAGGACCTGCTTCACTCAGCCAATCATTTTCTGGGACTGTTTACATGGAGACAGTACTCTGCGTGATTTTCCTGGAAAATGGGCTACATTTTCTGGTGCAACATTGTCAGGACCATTATGAAATTACCAGACAATGGCACAGCGTGGACACTGGGCACAAGGAAATTCTACCATTTAGAGTTTATTCTGAGACGGTCTGCCTGAGACTGTCATGCCATCATTATTGACATGTGTAACAATATAATGTTATTTCATTAGCTTTAACAGCAACATTAATACTGCTGTGGACAATATGAGTCACTTCAATACAGACACTGTTTGACTATATTTTACAGTCAGAAGGATGGTTACATAGACTGTACAAGTCAACTTAGAGAAATAGTAGCACAACATTGATTTAAAAAGCCTGAGAACTGTTAATTCTTTCTTTAATATTGAATCATAACTTGTTATTTGCTTACCTTACAACAGTGCCAGGACGCCGTGCTTGAGCTCACTTTAGTGTGAATCATACAATCACGAAGATGAATCTAAATCGCTCTTTATGTGCGCCGAACTTTGACAAAAGCAGACGGTGACAGAGTTTGTGAAGCTTCATTGACTCACAAACACTTCCAGATCTTGTGGTTAACAGTCTGTGACTGCTGCTCACTGGCAGGTGTGCTGCTTGAATGCATTTAGTGAGTCACTTCATTGATATCACTGGATATCAGTGATACCAAAGACAATAGTACAGCCTAGTACAGGCTATTGTGAGACTCTTGTCTGCTGAACAGTCTTAACCTTAAGAAATTCAAAACTGTCTAGATGCAGTATGTGTTTTTCTTCTCTCCAGTAGTTGAACAAGTTTAAATGTCACACCCAAAAGAAAAGGCAACACACTGCTCTGCTTTATCAGATTTTTACACTTAATTATTCAATTGAGTGATATGGTAACTAAATAAATATTTCATAACAATCCAGATAACAACCATGGCGGGAACATGACCTACACTGTGGAGGAAATGCATGACCACATCTTTTAAATTACACAACTCTGATGTAAATTGTCAGACAGACAGAAAGTATATTATAATATTTATAGTTTGTTAGTTTTCTTATATTATTTCTGGATAAAAATATCCATACATTCACTAACTTTATGAGAGAAAACCAAAATACCAATCCCCCTTTTCAACTGTCAACGGTCATTTGGACCTCTGAAACTCCTTAAAATCTCTCAATTAACAAACTGTGGTTTCTAAAATAATTTCTTCCTCATTCCAAAACATTTTCTAATTCTGAGAGATAATTAACATCATGTAACAACTGACATTATTTTTCTAGTTCGTTTACCATGGCCAGGGCTCCTAATTCATACAATCTTTCCAAAGCTGATTACAGGATCCAACAGAGTTTTCCTTTAATTATGAGGCAGTGTATACAGATCCTCCATTGGTATTCAGGAAAATAAGTCGAGGGCAACGCTTCAAATGTGAAAACAGAAACATTTATTCAAGCACTGCTCCATGAGAAAGTGTATGTCCTTTCAAATGTAGTGCCATAAGTATGCCTGTTTTGTATGGGTATAAAGTATTCACTATTCTGCAGCCCAGATTCACATTTTCATCTTTGCTACTTATGGCCTTAATAAAAAAAAGCTTTGTATCAGATGTTTCTCCCTTCTGCTTATTTGTCTTGCGTTGTGCCTTCATATTTAGGCACGAAAACATGAACTGATCCTTTAAACACTATCAGACTGCTTTTATAGCTTGCTGTAAAACCCCATATGGCTGTTAGTTGCAGCCTGCCTTATACATAACGCTCTCCTTCTACACTGAATGACGTGCCGTACCGGGAGTGTAAGTCATTAATTCACACAGTACACCGAACCTAATGCATTATAAAACTACGATGCTGTTTCATGAGGGGAGGGTAAACAAAACATCATTCTTCAACCATGATGAATTGATTCTTGCAGCTGTTTAATTCTGAAATTCCCCTGTATATGCCTCCCTTTTAAAGATTTGACCTACTGTAGGTAAAAGCAGATCCCCTATATGAGTGACACACTCATGCTTAAACACCTAGAGAAAAACTGAGCTGGAAGCAGATGTCTACCAGCTCATTACCATAATGTTTTTGTGCACCAAGCGTCTGAGAGAAAACTTAAGAAGTGTGCAAAACAAAGGCAGAAACCACAAGTGCCTGGAAGACCGTTACAGCTTGAAAACACAAAACAGCAGAGCACCTGTGTGTCTAAACTGATGCTTACAGGGCTGAGTGGAAGAGAAAAGAATTTACTCCTGTTACTAGAGAGGATGTAACACACAAATTCAGATGTCAGTAGGATATGCAGAATGTTTTTTTTTTCAATTTATTTTTGAGAACTGTTCCATCCGTATGAATTCAGCCTTGGAAAAATAAACCTTTATAGTCACCTCAAGGCATCCTCACAAAGCACTGTTGAAAAGTACTGACTGCTATGTAGCTGCAGCTGGGATGGTGCAGAGAGTGAGTAGGAGGCACAGCAGTGTGTGGCAGACCCCAGGCCATGCAAGGATTTGTACATAATTGATAGAACAAAGTAATTAGAATCTATGGTAGCACCTGTTTCTGTCCCTTGTAATGTATCACTACCTGACTGTTGCTACCCTGAAGCGTGGTTTTGACGGATGACGCGGTGACAGCTCTGATGTTCTGACGATCACTGTGCAGTTGTGTTTATCACTATTTAATGTTACGGTAATTGCTCCCCTTGTGGTGATTGGTACTGAGTGCCAGTGGCGCATTTCCATCTCACTCTGGTTAATGTTGCTGTGGTACGGTAGTTATTATCTGGTGATAGGCGACCTGCACCACAGTTAAGCTTTTACATTCAGGGTCATTGTTTTCACACTGCAACTTATGTGGATCCCAATCTTGTATACAATCTAGTAGGACACCTAATGCCCCTAACTTCATGTTATTGGCTAACATTGTTAGGAAATTGTTTCATTGAATGTATTTACATACAGGAATGTATAGTGTAGCAAAACATTCACTGATTAGTTTTTTCCTACAATAAACTTGCAGCTAACATTAATGTTAATTAATGTTTTTGTGGTCATGTTTTTATGAACTCAAAGCAATTTGAGCTGCACTAATCAATATTTTTGCATTAACAATTGAAAAAAGTACTACATATAATGTGAAAGGAGTCACTTGTAATGACAAAGCCACAGATAATTATCACCTAACCCCGATCTCCCCTCAGCTCTACAGAGGGTTTTACCATCTTTCAGCTTGTTGTTTTGATAGATTTAGTGAAAAAGCTTTGATAACCTAATGTATGCTTTTGCTCAGCACCCTACAACAGACAGACAAGGTCAGCGGCTAGCTGGTGACAATAGCTAGACGCTAACCTTGTCAGTAGGATAGTAGAATAGACTGGAGCCATAGACGGTATAAAATAAGTCGAGCCACCATTGGTTTGTGGACTAATACTTTGAACGAGTTTGGCATATTGGTAGTCGCCATATTGGTTATTTGGAACAAAAAGTGACCATTTGGACAAGAGGGTGGTGCTGGGTAGGGATACAAATGGCTACACCTGACAGTTTGCCATGGTAGCAACTTGTCAATCACAAGGTAGCCACACCCTAAAGCATACAATAGGTGCGTTTGAGATGACTGCAGCTGACTTTCACTGACTTGATAGTCTAACGTGAGCTGCAGGTGACTGCAAGGGCTTTGGAATACTGTATAAAAATGGCTCCACATAGATGAAGCCAATAGCGATGTCAGAAGCTTATGTCAAAATCTTTGGCTGTACTTCTGATTGATTTGTTCTTCTTTTCCCTGAATGGAAGCGGATGAATTTCATCTGCCTGGGAATGATGGGGAAATGAAGTCCATAGGTTGATGAATGTGGACCAGTCGCTGGGATGTGCAAACTCCAGCACGTGTTTAATTGTGAGCATGTTAATCAGTCATCTTCATAACAACTTTGTTGAAGAGGAATATGAAATTTATTTCCATGAGCATTGAACTTATAATCTTCAGACAATGAGTCCTGTGCCTCAATGACACTAAAAACAACTTGAAATTACTATTAAGAAACGTTCTTGCCAACCCTGTGTTAAACTACTGTTTATTATCTCGAGATCACGAGAAAATGATCCCGTTATCACGAGAAAACAACAGTCCTTATCTCGAGATCACGAGATAATTATCCCGTTACCACGAGTAAAATAAAGACATGAATGGGTGGCCGCTTAGGGCTTCTGTACCTAAGCCCACAAACAACTCT